AATTCCCACGGAGCTGAAAGAGCCACTTAGACAATTCATGTTGAAGAGCGCTTTTTCCACATCATCTTTTTCCCATGGTCTGTTTTCCTCCTGTTTAAAATGCGAAAAACCAGCTGTGGAGGATGGTTTTGCGGGCGGCGCGGCCAGCTGTTGAAGGTGGGAACGGGGCCTGTTTTATTTTGCGAGTGTGAAAACAACTTTCCGTAGTCTGCTCGCGTGTATCCTCCCTTTCATCTCCTCCCGCACCCCTCCTCCCTCACCCCTCCTCGACTCCTCCGTGTGCATTTCAGCTATTGGGACGTCCTTCAAAATGGCGTGTCTTGATCGATTTCCGGGTCAAGTCCCGGAGGAGGGAAGAGAGGAGTCGAGGAGTCGAGGAGGGGTATTGGGATGAGGCTAATTTGAGCTGGTGGAGGAACAGTGTGCTGATGCGTCTCTAAAAGGTCTGAGGGAGAGTGTTCTGTCTGGTGGGGAGGTGAGAAATCATGCTCTACTACGACGACATCCCAATTAATACCTGAGGACTCCTCTGTCCTCGCGTCACCTCCTCGTGTCTCTCGCTCGCATCTAACGGAGGCGGAGCTAAGACGCAAGGAAGGGAAGCGAGTGAGGGAAAGGAGGAGTCGAGGAGGGGTATTGGGATGAGGCTCTCAGGTATTAATTGGGATGTCCTCGTTCACTCAAACGTCACTTTTAAACGACGTCTGTTAATGATGACATGTGCACAGCTGTATCCCCTCTCATCAGGCTTAACTGAATAACCCCTTAGAACCGGCCCATTTGTTGTTAAATATTTATTTAAATGAATTAATCTTTCTCTTGTTAGTCAAGGAATTCAATGCATGATGGTTGGTCCTGCTTTTGTGTTCCGTTTTGGTGTAAAATGTAGCCTACATTTAAATAAAAATATAATTATAGTAGGCCTAATGTGGAAGCCTTTTAGAAATGAATTGCACATAATAATTCCCACGGAGCTGTGAGCACTTATACATTTATGTGACGCTTTTCCACTCATCTTCCAGTTGTTGGTTTTCCTCTGTTGAAATCGACCAGCTGTGAAGGTGGGGGCGGGGCTTTTATACGCGAGTAGTGAAAACACTTCCGCGTTGTGTGCTCGCATGTATCCTCCCTTTCGTCTCCTCCCACACCCCTCCTCCCTCACCCCTCCTCGACTCCTCCGTGTNGTGTGCCTTGGCAGTCTCAGGATGGTGGGGCGGGGCTTTTATACGCGAGTAGTGAAAACACTTCCGCGTAGTCTGCTCGCGTGTATCCTCCCTTTCATCTCTTCCCGCACCCCTCCTCCCTCACCCCTCCTCGACGACTCCGTGTGCATTTCAGCTATTGGGACGTCCTTCAAAATGGCATGTCTTGATCGATTTCCGGGTCAAGTCCCGGAGGAGGGGAAGAGAGGAGTCGAGGAAGGGTATTGGGATGAGGCTAGTGTCATTAACCCCCTCAGCAAGAGCACAGCTGTGTCCAGGGAGGTGACTCCATCACCGAAGGTTTCAGATGCATTATGGGTTTAATTATGTCTAAGAGCTCCACTCATGAGCAGAGGAGCCATTCACAAAGGGACAAAATACATTTTAACTTGATTATTCTTAATGGAGCACGAATGTAAGACAGTAAATTGTTCTTAAGATAATAATCCAGAAGATTTTCATTCAAAACAATGTCTCTTCACTATCCCCAAATGAGGTGATACAATGGTGATGGAGTCTACGGCCCACTAACTGAATGTGTTTTTATACTAATTAGTGACAATGGCAAAATAACTCTTTTTGTTCTCTTTTTACCGCAAATAGATCCATAAGAGGACATTTTTATGCCTTTGTCACTGACACATTTAGTAAAATAAACAATGTTGAGCTTCTTTATTGACTATTTTTTGGGAGAAATAAAGGTTACTTGACAGGGTTATTAACACACGGAATGAGAAAGCTTACCAACACTATTTGATGTGTGCGGTGCCATGAGAAGACATGGTTCAACAGCATTAAAGTGGGCTGAAGTATGTCTGATGAGTCAGCTTAATGTCAGCACGGATAACATTTAGAAAAATGATTCAAATACACTGCAAGCTGACACTAATGCGCCTTCTATAAACAAGAAGACCAAAATGAACCTTATTAAACATTAACAAGTATTTTTGCTCTGAGAAACTGGTATGAAACACCCCATTTTAAAAGCTATTTCTTCACACTATTCTAGCCGTTCTACATGCATGGCTCAACTCTGAGCATGTGTGAGTGTTGTAACCATTTGCATCATCCTCACAGCGAAAGACTAAAAACAGAGAGGGAATGGTTCCAACCACATAAAGATATATTCCTAGGGCAAGGCCCATATTAACAACACAGATGCATGCCTCTTTATCTTGCAAAACCATCAGGACAATGAATCAACATGCAGGTCTGGCAGCATGAATGCTTCCTGGTGTACAGCCAAAATGGCTTTTTTATGAAGCAGCTGAGCTGGAAGCAGAGCAGGAGGCCGACTCATCCAGCACAAAGATACATGTTAGAAGAAGGTGGAAGGACAACGCCACTTCACTGAGTGTATTTGATGAACGAGCTTGTTATTGAACCTTTCTCTCTGGAATAAAGGAAACACTACAACACTGAGAGAATCTGGTCAGTGTGGTCTGCATGCAGCACTGCTTATATAAGCTCCGAGGGATGGATATGATTCACAGGCCTACAGTCAGAGTGAACAGCAGTAAGTAGCGATGGAGAAGAATCTGTTCAATTGAGTCACGCGAGGACACACAAACGAGAGAGAGATGAAGTGTAGAAAGTATTGATCATTTCTTTGTAAACTTTAGATTAGAATATTTTCTTATTGAACCAATTTTGTTCCACGGCTGAACAGATATAAGAACTATTTTGGTCCCCTATCAATAAAACTGTTTGGCTCAGTCTCTCGCCTACACTGAAAAGTGACACTCTCCTCTGTACTTATATATTCATTTCTAATACTGCCTGAAAGAAGCACGTTTCTAGACCTTGTCCAGGCTAAATAAGTCTGGTGTGCGGTTGATGATGTATTTGCCCAAAGACACTTCGACATGTTGACTGCAGGGGGAAGGGATCAAACCACTGACCCTCTGATGGTAGATGCCATTTTCCCCTCTGTAACAACAATGGCTACTTATACTATTTGTACTGGAAAAGACACTATACTTTAAAGCAGCTGATGCATTTCTTACTCACCATTGCATCTTACAATAAAGGAGGGATGTTTGACCTGCACCAGGATGATATTCTACACTGTTCTTCACTTTCCTGATATCAACAATTCCCTCTGTTTATAACTGCTGTGTAATGGTCATTAAATCCATTTACCATCAAATCCACTTCCTTATCTCTTGAGTCGTGTTTGTGTCAAAAGCTGGTTTGCAATTGTGTCAAATAATACAACTGCTAATCAATTCTGTAACAGCGATACGTTTCCAATGAAGAGGTGTCAGTTACAGCTAACGGGAGTTACACACTATTTTACTATCAAATGTAGAGATAAGAGTAGAGACATATGCTGACCGCTGGATGAAATCCAGCAGCAGTAGTAGTAAATTATGTTGGTCCTTATAACAATTTTCAAAAAATAATAAACATCCAAAAAATAAATACAAAAAGGCATCAAATAATAAAGGAAAAAATAAGACCAAAAAGGTGTAAGCTAAACCTTTATTAAACATTGGCTTCTTATACAGCCTATTCTAATTAGCAACCCTTTTTCGAAACATGTTTTAGGGTATGTAAAACAAAGACATTTCATTCATACACAATACTAATCATTTCATATTTGTTTACATCCTTATTTAACTGTCTTTGCAAAGTGAATACATTCTTGAATGCTAGTCACGACTACTCTATAAGGTAACCCCTTTGACAGAAATACATGTGTTCCTGATATTTGTCCTTACCGTTGAATTTTCAAACAGAACTATTAACCTAAATCCTACTATACTGTCTCTCTTTAAATTTTAAACAACCTATGAATACAGTCAGGAAGGTCTTTATTGTGGACTTTGTACATTATCTATGCGAGATAAGCATGCAAGTCAATAAATGGTTGGTTTTGTAGATGTATAATGCTCTTCTGTAGCATAAACACTTAATAAGTGTTGGTTTATATCGTGGTGTGTTTCCCTTACCTTCACACAGTAATTTAACGCTATATGGGAGGAATTAATAAAACACTAATCTGCACTGACTATCTTTAGTTTATCATCGTATTGCAATGATGCTGAGTGACAGACGTGGAAAGGCGAAGCCAACGCCTCCTTTTAACTCCAGGAGATGTCTTTTTTTATGAATTATGACAAGCTGTCAGGCCTTGTCCTACATGTTCACCCCTAAAGATGCATCCTCTAGGTTTATGGTTTTCTACGTCACGGATGGATTAGCTAGTTAGCTGCCTAGCTGCTAACAGTAGCTTGAGCGGTTTATCTCACCAATAAAACTAACGCCAAACGTCAAACCACGGTGGCAGCATCACAAAACACTTCACATGTTACAGGCATACATACGATTGGTGTATTAAAATAGAAACGAAGAATGAGACCAGCCTCACCTGCTTGCGTTAGCCGGTTAGCCGCTAACGTCCGCTGGGGAGCCAGCTGCTGATGACGGCCTGGGAGGTGGGTGTCCTCCACGGTCACACAAGCAGAGAGGCGGTGGGTATTCTGAATTAGCCTTCTTTATTTTATATCACGGTGTATCGTTAGGAAACGACGGCTGAAAGGCGGTAGCTTCTCCGTCAGACTGTTTCGCAGCATGAATAAATGATGGGAAGTGTGTGTCCGCCTCTGAGCTCGATGGACGGGCGGCTCAGTCTGTTACAACCTGCCTTCACAACATCCTCCTCCTCCTCCTCCTCATCATCATCATCATCATCATCATCGGCGTAAAGGGAGTTCCGCATACTCAGACCTAACGGAAGAGATCCTACAAGCCCGAGGAAAAGCACCTCAACCGCTCCACAGGGACTGACTTTAGTGCCGCCGTGGTTCTAATAGTTCACTAAAATATTAGTCTGACAGTTTGAAGTATTTTTGTTAAGTTTTATCGCCTGCCAGGGCCGGCCGAAGCCTTTTTAGGGCTATATACAAGTGGTCTATGGAGACACGATCCCACCCCCCCAAAACTGCAATTATTACCAATGTTCATCACAATAATATAACTAAAATCAAAAAATGAAGCTTTGTGAAGAAAACATATCAATACTACATTTATCATTTACACTTGCTTTAATTATAAAATAGTATCTTTACCAGAGGCAGTGCGCATTAATCAATATTTCAGTTTATCTCAAATATTTTGTATCTATAGTGCAGGTTATTAAAAAATAGTGTCCTAATGTTATCACTTCAATGCTTCAGCAAGCACTGGAGTTCAAAATATTTTAAAACAATACAATAAAAATAAGTACATCAACAGCTGAATAGGGGATAATGTAGTGTGGTTACTTATGATTGTCAATTTGGTTTGCTTTAAACCTCTTCTTCTTTAAATTTAAAGATTGCGCAAATAGTGCTTGATCTTAATTAAATATAAATACTATGTTGGGAGCTGTAATTCTACCCTGGGGCTTTCATATGCTTGTTTATAATCAATCAATAGTCTGACTTTTTAACAAGAACCTTTCAATTGTACATATCAAGTCCAGGGTAGTTGTATTGTATTTGTGAGAAAATCTTCTCGACGTACTTATAGCTGCAGCATATCAAACCCTACCAAACAGGTTACACCACAAATATTACAGTAAGCTCTCTTTTTTAAGTTTTTTCAAAAGCCTCTGCACTTCCATCAGTTGTCAATGGAAGTCACCATTATGAACCTGTTTCATGCTTTAGCAAATAAACCAAAACACATAAAATCTGACCAGCAAACAAGTCATTTTGATTCCAATCTTATCAGCACTACAGCGTAGCTTTAATTCATACTGTACATACAAAACAGAAGGTATTCAGGAGTTACAAGTATTAAAATAGGTTGCATTTCTATGTTTACAGTATCACTCTTTGAAGACAGGAATTAAATGAGATCAGAAATAAAAATTACAGTATATACAGTACAATTAAACTTGATACAGCATTAACATAAAATGTACACTAAAAAACTCAGATTAAAATAGCTCAACAAATGCATCTTTGCATGTTTGATCAGCACCCCATGACAAAATAATTTCAGTTTTATCAAAGTCCACCTGTAAGTAGAGCATGGATTTAATTGGGGCATGGTGTAAAATTCCCCCAAGTGTTACAGAGACTACTTCAAACCAAACTCAATCGATTCGTTTGGCAAGTGATACCCTGCAAGCAGCAAACTAAAAGCACACCTTTAATGTCTTTGGAGGACCCAAACTAAGATAAATAAATCCTTGTTGGGGTTTAAATGCTGCACACTCTCACATTCGTCCGGCTTCTTTAATATTGATCGTCCTGCCAAATGAAAACCATTAATACCAAAGGGTTGGAAGGGTGTAAGAAAATCAATTTGAACAAATACTTTTAGAGCAAATATAAAAAGTAAATCAAATTTTGAAGGGAAAGTCAAACGGCTTGATACAATTGGTGGTCAGAAAAAGCCAGGTCACTTCTGGCTTTATTTTTTCCTGCTGGATGGAAACACATTCAGGCAACCTTTGAATTAGCAATGCAATACAATAGATGGGAATGATGCTTACGCTCCTCATGTTGTACCTGGGCTGCACTGGCTTCCAGTAGCAGAAAAACAAATGCTCAGCAGTAGCCTGGTGTTTTGCTATGCGACTGTTGAGGGAGAGGTAGGAAAACACTCGGGCTACTTTTGTTCCTGTGAAGATTCTGAATGTTGGAGAACATATCACTGTTATTGCAATAAAGAATGTGGAAGGAAAACACACCTGTTTTTGTTCATTCAACAAGCCACTAATAGGTGGAGCTCACTGCACTTTGCAGGTTTACTAAAGAGTAGAGGGAGAGGTGTTGATCTACTGCTCCAATTAGCTGTCAGATCATTTTATCAAAAATCTATTTTATACGTCATGGTTTAATCAAATAGGACACAAAACCAAATTGACACCTTTATGCTATTAGCATTAATAATTAAATCATGTATTGCAGTATTCTTCTTGTTTGTTGAGATCGTTCATACACGCGTCCTAAAGTCTGCTGCATGTTGAGTTAAAGAAAAAGAAACATCATTTGTCGCTGTTGGAGCTTCACAACAGGTCGTTAATTTCAAGAAAAATAAGCAATAGACATGCTGGGGGATAAAGAAACAACCCTTGTTATCTTGTCCAAATCATAATTAGATCTGCCCATTTTTATACATCAATATATTTATTTACATATTATTTATTGACTGTGCCTGTGGTAATGTCAGTTGTGTGCATTTGTATTTGAATCACCGTTTCATTTTAGCTTCTAAATGCAGTTTTATGAATTAAAAGCCAAAATAAATTGTACCTGAAAAAAACAAACAAGTCAATACAATAAAGTATAATGTCCGAATGTAACTGGCACCTTGAAAAGCTTCAATTGTTTATGCTGTTTGCTATCACAAGTCTAATGGTGATACCTGGAAATGGCTACACAGGCTGCCAATACATTGTCTCTTCAAAACAGTCTACAGTGGCGTTATATCCCATTTTCAGCCCTCGTCCAAACATCAACATGAGAAAATAAACTTCACAGTTATGAATTTGCATTAACATTTCTTTATCATCCGTTATGCATTTCAAGTTTACACTTCTTAGGAGAATGCATGAGTATAAATAGTTATAGATGTTACTACTCATTTCCTGTAGTTCGCTGCTTCCCATTTAAAGATGTGTTGGTATATCTTTCTCTCAGTGAGGCTTTCCAAACAATCTGAGCGTTAAAGCTGTTAGTGTTGAGTAGTTTTTAAGGAAGATACTCAGAGCATGGTGACCTTTAGATCGAGATATTATTTCAGCTATATATTTTTCCCCTCAGTGTCGTAAATTATCAAAAATAAAGGGCTGTCAAATGTTTCAACTACTCAAACGTTGCCTGTTCTTTTTTCACACCTTAATTTGTTAGTGATAAAACAAAAATATAAAAATAACTTTGTGATGAAATGAAAGTTCAATTCATATAATGACCTAACGTGATTATTGGGGCATATCGTTGTACATTTAATTCATTTATACAACTTCAGTCAGTATTCATTTCCATTTATTTGGAAATCAGTTCACAGAGATGGTAGCTGGACTTCCTTTTTAACCGATGCTTAATCTTTACATACGTAAATAAAGACACATTAGAAACACCCATTGCAAGTTACCAGTGCTCTGTTTGATAAAAGATTGACTTAACACCATTTCTTGTTAATGAGGGCACAGTCTGCATTCTTGTGCGTTAGTTTATGATTGTACAATCTATGTGTGCACTCTATACATTTTTACTGTGAAAATAAATATACAATTTACATGAAAGTTAATGGGCATCTATAAATGACCAAAAGGGTCTCTTTTGAAGAAAACTAAAGTAATCTAATGGAAATGAAGGAAGCCTCTAATTCCCAGAGGTCTATTTCACATTACTTTACCTGAGCAACTACACCCACCTTTACATTTCTGCACTTACTCCAAAAGGACACAGCCTAACACAAACTATTTGCCAATTCACAATACCAACCAGCTGGCCTACCTCTTCAAAACATCGATAAAGTGAACAGTACATATGCTCATGCTTCACTCTGTGCCCATTTCCACCTATTGCACGACTGCAAGAAAAAACTATTTCAACCTTAACGTGCAGGTTTAATCCTGATGTTTGGAGGAAGCCACAACCAAGACCTGCTCAGATTATAATTGTTAGAGGGAGTATAGAAACTGCACTAGAAATTGACAAATAATAAATCAGAGAAAACTGGCTAAAGAGCCCAATGCTGGTATTCAATATCGCCATGATCATGTCAGCATCTACAAAAAAGTAAGAACAAAAGGCTCGAAGACAACTAGGCGTTCATGTTTTTCTATTTGAACACTAAACATTGTATCAGTCTGTTTGCGAACAAAAAAGGGCAATGATGCTCTCCTCCCACACGAGAAAAATAAATCTCACTGCATAACCAATCCCTGACCAGATGGCGGCAGAAAGGAGTCAGTATTCCTGCTTGATGCAACGTCTGTCTCAAGACTTCACAGAGGGTGACATCCGGTCTGCCGTCACTCATTGACGTCCCAAATTTCAGAAAGCAGTGGTGGAAGCTTCTTGTCCTGGAGACGGAGGGCGAACACCTGCTCCGAGTGGACGCTGCTTAGTGTACGGAGGCTCACCAACTTCATCAGCATGCGCGGAAACATCAGATGATCCTGAGGAAGCCATTTAAACAAGAATTAAAAACTGAGAGGAGACTTCCCGCCCTACAAAATGTCAGCAGGAATTACTTATAATTTAGAACTTCAGCTCTGTTTTTAGTTAATGTTAAAGAAAAAAGATTTACGTACATTCAGTATCTGCGTTTAGAAAGAAAACATGACCCAAACCCTGTAACATCCCTCCTCCAGTTTGAATAAAACAATGTAACCCCAGCCATGACCCAATGTGGTTGTTGTGATGACGACTGTCGGTTATGCTGACATGTCGGCACAGGAGGGGGGGGTTACGTAAACAGCAGCACTTACATTTGGTCTCTTTATCATGATATAAGAGCGCAGTGCGTCCACGTAGGGTTGCTGTAGCCTCTCCACCAGTCCATGATCCTGCACATTTGGCCGATCTAAAAAAAACAAATAGGAACATGTTTATCTCTGTTCATCTGAAAAAAGCAACTATAACAGACACATTCTCACATAGAAAATGACATGAATAGCTGTTTTACATGCATTTTTCGTTGAGGATTGAATGCATGCTTTGTAGTTTAAGAATTCTCACCTGCGGAAAAGATGTTGATGGCGATCAGCAGGGCGTACTCGGCCTCGTCCAGCTGCAGGTCATTCATTCCTTTTGAGAACTCAAAGATGGGATTGATGAACTCAAACTGAAGTCCTGAGGAGGGGAGATGAGGGAGGGACAAAAAAAACACTTTAAAGAAGGAAATGTTAGGAAAAACTGTTTATTTTTCTACATGAATGGCATATCAGATAGGGCTGATGAATATGGCAAAAATCATAATCTCCATTATTTGGGTCAATAATTGTAATTGCGATTATTCATTGACTTTGAAAACATCAATTTATTGGAGAAAAAATGTTGAACAGTATGTTTTTAACAGTTGATTACCCTGAACTTTAAGTATAATTCAACTGAAAAACAAAACAAAAACAAAAGTAATAATAATAAT